AGCACAATTTCAAACCTAGTGTATACAAGTTAAAAAAGAAGAAAGTTCAGATTTGGGGAACTCAAGATTAACAGAACAATTTCAAAACCCAATATTTACACAACTTAGGTGTTTAAAAATAAAAATTAAAAAAGAGTAGTTAAACTAGACAATTATTAAATGTTTATCTTTGAAGATTTCTGCAGTTATTCTACATAGACTTTTGCAGCCAAGGATATCGTGAATAATAACCTGCAGTTCTGTTTTAATTCAGAGGAAAAATGCTTTTAATTTGCCTAAAGCAAAAATACATAATGTACCCAGTACATAAAACAAGGAGCCTGTAATTCTCTTATACACGTTTTCCCTTAGCTCTCAGAATGAAAGACAGGAGGTGACATATGTTAACAGCAGGTACTACAGGGAAAACATTCCTTCGATTCTTATTTTTTTCCGGAAAGTTTTGTATGGGATCAGCAACATGGTATTAGAATTTCTCCCAGTAGAGTGATGTAACAAATTAGGATCGGATTTTGTTTTACCCTTTCTGGAATGTATCTCCTTAAAACTAGTTTACTTTTAAGTCCAAAGCCCAGGCTGGTGAAACCCTGGCTGTGATATCTTTCTACTGTCTGCACATACTTCAGACACTCTTGAGATGGAGGTGACTGTGAAAAACAAGCCACCTGGAAGCATGTAACAAGAACCTGAATTACCTAGATGCTGTAACTGGGTTAGATATTGGGAGAAGTCTATAGCATTTGCTAAAAAGATGAGTGATTATCAGGCTACATGTTCTTTTCCAGACATAGCTTGGGGAGGGCGACTTTAGACTACAAGCAAGCCTCCCTGGAATTAAACACATGCTGCGCAAAAGGTGCAGATGTGGCAAATACAAGCAAAGGGGTTAGTAAAGCCCATCAGAAAGAAAAGGAGGGCAGCAAAACCTTTGTTGGTCAAAAACTCAACTCGACTTCTTTTTGAGAAATAGACTATTCACCCTAAAAAGGAGAGCTTTCAGTGTGAAATGCCATAAGAGATGAACTTTTAGAAGGTGCTACACTTAATAAAACTAAGTTGCATAAAGCTGCAAAGTTCAAGATTCTTCTCGCTTTTCTATGGTTTTGGAGTAAATATAATCTAGTGGTTATAGTACAAAACAGTTTCAGGACTGGAAACTGGGAAATAATAATTTGACTACCAACTCTGTCCTTGGGTAAATATCCTAAACTTATTTGTTACATGTTCTGAAAAATAGTCAACATTTGTGTAGATGTTTTAGAACTGTATGTAACCAGTAGAACTGCAAGACTATATAAATAACCAAACAATTGGGAAAATTGTGGAACAGTATATGACTTTAGAGCTAAGGGAAGTGTAGCATATATGAGCATTAACTGTAAACTGTTGGTAGCTGCAAGGAGACAACTACAAATAGCACAAAGTTAACACAAAGATAAACGGAACATAAAACTCATTGAGTTTGTTTTGACCAAAGATTCTCTTGTGAGAGCATGGAAAGCGAGGCAGTTTGGGAACTAGATTACTAACGAGGAAAAAAGAAAGGAAAATAGAAGTCTTTAAGAATATAAGTTACTTCTCATGAGATTAAAGAAAGCATTGAGGTTCTGTAAGGTGAATGGGCAGGGAGAATAATCTTTGAATAGTTTTAGTACAATTTGTATTAAATGGTTATTCATTGCAGACAGCTAGGGGTCTAGAAGATAGCATAGGCATGAATACAACCTAAGGTAATTTGTTGGTAAAAGTAGCAAAGGTTGTAACCTGATAACCAATGTAACAAAATGTAGCATTAACATGAAGGCAATGGGTCTCTAAGGCTGAAAAGAACAAAGCCAAGAGAGAGATGCATGTATTTGCTTTGAACAGCCAAAGACAGCCTGGGGGGAATGTGGGAGAGTACTGCTTCATTCTATCTAGCCATTTGTGCTGGCAACCATTAATGAAACAATTTCCAGTGAAGTAACATTTTGGAGAAAGAAACATTAATTATAGTCCTGATTACATAGTTCTATAAATTCACTGCATGCTATCCATAAAGAGGGGCAATAGCTAGAACCCAGTGAAGTTCACAGTCCTTTACAGAAGCAGTTTCAGCCTTTCGTACTATTTTAAAACAAAGCGTGATTTTCATTTGTTTTGGCCTTAGGTAATATCTGCCAAGAGTTGCTGCCAGATATTAAATGTCCCACATTTATAATTCATGGTGAGAAAGACTGTTTGGTTCCACAAGCTCATGCAGAATACATTCATAAGCACGTCAAAGGCTCTCGGTAAGTTATATGATAGAGTAGTTATAAACCATTGTTGAAGAAATGAAGCGGTTCAAACCCACAGTGTAAAACAAAATAAAGTATTTGAACAAGTTGTCTCTGCCATAAACAGAGCTATTCTAAACTTCCCTATAAAGTTACAATGCAAAGAATGTAGCTGGACTTTTCTTACAATATAGAAAGTATAATATTTGAATAAGCTCCTTCTTAAAGTCCTCCAGGAGAAATCAAGCAAGATCTTTTTCCTCTTGCCACTTCACATGCAGAACCAGTCCCTAGCATTTGTTGAAAAAAGCAAAGTTCTTCTGTTTCTGTTAGGGCCATTGCATTCCTTTTGCTGCAAGAGACCTTATTTCTGTCCCTATCAGTAGGCCAATGAACTTAAACGCTGTGAATGGAGAGAGACTCTCAGTTACTGGAGGGAAGCAGAGAATACCGGTATTTGTTCTGCCTTGTTGATGTGAACAACCACCTCAAAAGTTGTTTTTTTCCAACTGTCCCAGGAATTTTCAGTGAAAAAATGAGTTATATGTTTTCCTCTAAGTCAGCCCCACTGCTCATAAAAATGCATTACGCCACAGGGAAGATGAGAACAAGAGATCTTTCTGGCAATCACATACAGGTGTTTTATGGCATGTCTGCTAGTTAATTACTCCCACATGCCCTGATCAGAGCTCCTATAATTCTGTTAGGTCTCACTGAGCTCTGAAATGCTCCAGAGGCTAAGGGAAGTCAAAAAAAAAGTAGGCAGTGATCTAATAGCTTCTATTTGGAAGACAAACCAAGGAGAAAACTGTTAGAAGTTGGTATCCAATAAAATGTAAATTGATTCTTTGCATGTCTTTGTGCTGAAGTGTTCCCCTCTATTTTTCAGAAATCAGACTAATTTTGTTCTCAGAAATTAATACTGAGGTACACGGTCCCATTCTTCTCTTGTTGCACTGGAAATGACATGGTCTATTATAAAGCAGAAGGGAAACCTTAAATTTAACATATTTTCATTAACACATGCTTTTACCATGAAAAAAGAAAGCAAGCTTTTCTTGCTTTTATTTGTATCTGGCAGTAAAGTAGAAACGGCTTCTGACAATTGTGCAAAACATTGCTTATTTCTCTCATGGTAAGAGTAAGCCATGATTCTGTATTTGCATGGCTAGAGTTGAATAGCATTGCAGTGGCTTAACAGCAGTAGCAAATAGCATACATACTGCTATAGGTTTGTGCACTTCCATGCTGCTTGGTCTTTGAAGAAACAGACAATGTAGTGCAGACAGAAGTACTAGAAGAGCTGGACATGTTCACACACTATTGTTCTTTTCCATAAGACAAAACAAAACTGGTCACCACCAACAGGGGAGATTTAGGTTAGATACAGTAAATTCTTTACTATGAGGATGGTGAGGCACTGGAAGAGGCTGCACATAAAAGTGGGAAGTGCTCCATTCCTGGCAGTGTTGGACGGGGCTTTGAGCAACCTGGTTTAGGGTGAGGCATCCCTGCCCATGGCAGGGGGTTGGAACTAGATGACCTTAAGGTTCTTTGCAACCGAAACCATTTTATGATTCTATGAAAAGAACAAAGATACCCCTTGCTGTAGTGGGGCTTAGATGACATGAAGACAACACAGCAAAGTACCAATCAAGATGGCTTTAGCTCTGTTGAAATTGCTTAGTATGCAAAAAGATCAAATAATTTGTTTCCCACACACGTGAAGAAATGGCAGAGGTACATACCTGCTGTGTAAAGTTTTTCCCAGATGGGAGGCAATGGCAAGTAGCATTTTAGGCATGTCACACTTGTATCAGTATTACAAAGATTTAGCCTTCTTCACAGATAGCTATAACAAAAGTTTAGAAGTAAGAAATCCCGACTTCCCTTTTTACTTTAATGGCTGAATGTGTTAGTTTTAGATTGGTTTCTTTTGGTTTTTTTACAGACATATTACACAAAGTTCAAATGCTAATTAAGTTTCTGTGGTGACATGAAATCTAAATTTCTGTAGTGATCTCTTCAATGCATTCACTGCCCAGCATAACCCCTATTCTCCAAAAGAGGAAAGAACTCAGGTACTTCACATACCTTTTGAAGATGCATCCTGCTCGCATAACTTTTGGAATCTTATCTTCTTTGCTGACCTTCAGAAAGGTTCCTAGAAACTGGGACTGGGACACAAAAATTGGTTTTAAGCTTAGTTTATCCTCCCCAAAGTGGGGCGAGTAGTATGTCCTTCTTGCTTCAACTGTTGCTGTGATTCATATTCTGAACCACATACGGACAATACTTAAGAGTTACTTCAGTTCTGTACTTGGGTAAACAAGAGCAAGTAAAAGGCAACAAATATTATAATTACCTATGCTCACAGAATAAAACATATATTCAGTGTCTGATTTTCTCTTTTAAGGCTGCTTCTGATGCCAGAAGGAAAGCATAATCTACACCTGCGTTTTGCAGAGGACTTCAACAGACAGGTGGAAGACTTCCTACGCTGAAAAGAGTAGGAAACAACCTGGAGGTGTTTCTTTTTGCTTTGTTTGGGAATTCTAGTAGGCTTTCAATTTTCATTTAAGTTATAGGAAGGTTTGACTCCTGTAATTAAAAAAATGTGAAAGATATTTGCATGAAAACCATAACTTTGATAATATGTAAGCCTCTCAGTAGATCAGAGTGCACCACTGTGCTGCAAGATTTGACATGTTTTTAAACTTATGTTAAGAAAGACAGAAAACATTATCTAGAATACATGCCTTTATGTGCTCTTAACATTAAAGGGGAAGAACATTGTAATAACTGGGATTCAGAGTTGTTACATGGAGAAATTTGTCAAAGTTACAAGAACTGAGAGGATAATTTGGTACACTGTTTCTAGAGAGCATGCTTCACCACCACTACCAGAAAGAAGTCGCTTAGTACACATGCCTACTTTAGAGAAGTTCTTTGAATACTACAGGACTTAAGCCTCATCCTCCTCTCCCTCCTCTTCAAATTCCCCCTGCTCATCAGCAGTGGCATCCTGGTACTGCTGGTATTCGGAGACCAGGTCATTCATGTTGCTCTCTGCCTCCGTGAACTCCATCTCATCCATGCCCTCACCGGTGTACCAGTGCAAGAAAGCCTTGCGCCGGAACATGGCCGTGAACTGCTCTGAGATCCTCTTGAAGAGCTCCTGGATAGCCGTGCTGTTGCCAATGAAGGTGGCAGACATCTTGAGGCCACGCGGGGGGATGTCGCAGACGGCCGTCTTCACGTTGTTGGGGATCCACTCCACAAAGTAGCTGCTGTTCTTGTTCTGCACGTTGAGCATCTGCTCGTCCACCTCCTTCATGGACATGCGGCCCCGGAAGATGGCGGCCACCGTCAGGTAGCGGCCGTGGCGTGGGTCGCAGGCGGCCATCATGTTCTTGGAGTCGAACATCTGCTGGGTGAGCTCGGGCACCGTCAGGGCTCGGTACTGCTGGCTGCCGCGGCTGGTGAGCGGCGCGAAGCCCGGCATGAAGAAGTGCAGCCGCGGGAAAGGCACCATGTTGACCGCCAGCTTGCGCAGGTCGGCGTTCAGCTGGCCGGGGAAGCGGAGGCAGGTGGTCACGCCGCTCATGGTGGCCGACACCAGGTGGTTGAGGTCCCCGTACGTCGGGGTGGTCAGCTTCAGGGTGCGGAAGCAGATGTCGTACAGGGCCTCGTTGTCGATGCAGTAGGTCTCGTCCGTGTTCTCCACCAGCTGGTGCACAGAGAGGGTGGCATTGTAGGGCTCCACCACCGTGTCCGACACCTTGGGAGAGGGCATGACGCTGAAGGTGTTCATGATGCGGTCGGGGTACTCCTCACGGATCTTGCTGATGAGCAGGGTGCCCATCCCAGAGCCCGTGCCACCACCCAGCGAGTGGGTCAGCTGGAAGCCCTGCAGGCAGTCGCAGCTCTCCGACTCCTTCCTCACCACATCCAGGACAGAGTCCACCAGCTCAGCGCCTTCCGTGTAGTGCCCCTTGGCCCAGTTGTTGCCAGCCCCACTCTGACCTGCGGGGCACACCAGAAGCAAGGTGCCCTGTTAGTAGGCCCCCAAGCAGGAACAGAGATGATGTCACCTCTCCTGCCCCACAGCCTGCACCCCTCACCTTCATCCCCCTTGTGCTACTGGCATTCACGTCTCCCAGGGTCATCTGCATGTTTGCTCCAAGTCCTTTCTGTGCACAGAGCTCCCAGTCTGGGACTCCTCCATCCCACACTCACTCACCAAAGACAAAGTTGTCAGGCCGGAAGATCTGTCCAAAGGGGCCGGAGCGCACAGAGTCCATTGTGCCAGGCTCCAGGTCCACCAGGATGGCACGCGGGACGTATTTGTTACCTGCAGGAGAAACCAGTACCAGCATGAGCCCTACAGTTGGCAGCCAGTGTCACAGGACCCCTGCTGTGCTCCATTCCACTTCCCTGCATTTTACTGGAGACACACTGTCTAGATCAAGACTACTGTGTTATCAGAGCCATTCTGAGAACAAAGCTCTCTTAGAGGAGTCACTGGCAGGTGACAGCTCTTTTTCAGGGATTTTTCCAGCCTTAGTGAGCTGGCATGTCTGCCCCATTTATTTAAAGGCATCTGATGAAGCAGACACACTTACCAGCAGCTTCATTGTAGTAGACATTGATCCTTTCCAGCTGCAGGTCGCTGTCCCCATGATAGCTGCCTGTGGGATCAATGCCATGCTCATCGCTGATGACCTCCCAGAACTAGAAATATTTGGAGAACAGCAGTTGTTAACCACAGCTGGCCAGTGCCAATCACACACACCAGCACAGTCTGTACATGCCATTTCCTGACCACTCCCTTGCATAGCAGCGCAGCTGCCCTGGAGGAAGGTGAGGCAGCACAGAAGGCTTTCCCTGACCACAGCAGCTGAAGGCAAGCAGGCAGCTGAGCACCAAACTGTGAGTTAATTCTTTTATTGCTTATATCCAAAGGATGACAGTGCCCAGGTATCTCAGCTTAGTCTTCTCCCATTGTCTAGCAGGGGCATAAGACACTCTAGGCATTACAAGAGGATGACACCTGTAACACCCTCAGTGAGGGGGCTCTCTATAGCACTGAAACACCTCTTGCTCCCTCAGCGGCCGGCACCAGTGAGGCGGGGAAGAAAGGGAGGCAGCAGGTCGGATGCCGCTGCTGCTCGTGGAAAAGCGGGGCGGGCAGCGAAAGACGGGAGCCAGGGCACAGCCCAGCCGGCGCCCAGCACAGAGGAGGGTCAGACTGCCGGAGACGGGAGCAGGAGCCGCGATGTTTTATCAAGCCCCGGGCTACTCTCCCTTTGGGGACGGGGCGGCGTGCGACCCCAGGGTCCCACAGTCGCACACCGGGAATCGCCCCCCTCTCCCGCCCCTACCTTGGCGCCGATCTGGTTTCCGCACTGCCCGGCCTGGATGTGCACGATCTCACGCATGGTGCTGGTGTCCCCTGCTGCCCCGCACGCACACCACCCTCCCACCACTCCCGCACTCTCCACTGCGGAGGCCGCGCCCCGCGCCCCCCCATTAAATCGGGCGCCGTGCCCCGCCCCGCCGGTGACTTCATGCGGCGGAGCCAATGGGCGCATGGGGTTGGGGTGGTGCTGTGGCGTTGTCTCCCGCTCCGCGGTTGGAGTGCGGCGGGCGTGGAGCGCTGGAGGGGGTTCGCCCTCAGCCGGTGGGAGGGAGAGCGGCCGGAATTGCACGCGGCGTGGTGGGTGTTGGGCCGAAAAGGTGGAAAATAAACCCAAAAACTCCAACCTCCCAAACTGCTCTTAGTGCACCTGTCGGGAGTTCATCCCATTACTTTCTTTGCCGCTGCTGTGTTTTTAGCACCTGTGAAACCTGTGTTTCTAGCTCAGGCCTCCGTAATCGTGTTTTGGTATGTTTTAAGCCCAAGAATCATCTCTCCATATCTCAGAGACCTGCAGCACATGGGGACTGGGTGGCTGCAATAGACCCCACAGCCATGCTCAAGCAGCACAACCCTGCTTCAGATAGTGCTGCCAAACCTGTGTGTGTAGAGCTCTGACCTCAGGAATGCAGAAGGCTGCCATGAAACTTGATGATGTTACTAAAGAATGGCTTTGTCTGGAGTGATCTGGCTGCGACAGGAGTTGGAACACACGTAGGAGTGGGATAAGTGCAGGTCAAGGGAGGACATTCTCCCCCTCTGCTCTGGTGAGACCCCTACCTCTGACTCTGGAGTCCTCAGTACAGGAAAGACATGGACCTGTTGGAGGGGGTCCAGAGGAGAGACACAAAAATTATCAGAGGGATGGAACACCTCTACTGGGGTTGTTCAGCCTGGAGAAGACTCCAGTGAGACCTTATTGTGGCCTTTCAGCTCTTAAAAGGGGCCTATAAGAAGATGGAGAAAGACTTCAGCAGGCCCTGTTGCAATAGGGTTAGGGATGATAGTTTTAAAGAGGGGAGATTCAGGCTGGATGTGAGGAAAAGAATTCTTTGCAATGAGGGTGGTAAAACCCTGGCACAGGTTGGCCCGAAAGGTGGTGGATGTGCCATCCCAGGAGACCTTCAAGACCAGGCTGGGTGGGGCTCTGAGCAACCTGCTCTAGTTGAAGATGTCCCTGCTCATTGCAGGAGGATTGGACCAGATGACCTTTGAAAGTCCTTTCAATCCAAACCATTCTATGATTCTATGATAAGTTGCATGCTGTCCTACCAGACACCTGCCACACATCTCATTTTGGAAGATTTTGGATCCTGCTCCCAGCATGTCTGCTTGCCCAGTCATAGAAATAAACTGAACAGATGTACGTGGCAGATGACTGAGAGAGGAGCGACAAGTTCAAGAACAACAGTAAGAACACTATATTTGAACCAACTGAGATACACCTGAATCTGCACTGCTGCTGAGAAGGGTATCCAAAATAAATTTCAGCAGGGTCTATAATGGATTGTGCAGAAACTATTGAATGTGACTATAAAAACATTAATTGATTCACAGCTTTAAATTTTTCAATAGTGAAAGAAAGTTTGGCACACAGCTGGCTGGCTTGGTGAGGACAGCTTTACACAGAGACCAGGGAAGGGAGCTGACAACCCACAATCAAACAGGGAAGCAGTGGATCATGTTAGCCTCATATTCAGCACAACAGACCTGGAAGGGGTCCCCCTCAAGCACAATATGAAGTGCTGAGGGGACAACATGACAGGACATTGGTGGAGGGAGGCAGTCTCTTTAGGAAGGATGGACTGGGAAGGCAAGGAAGGAGAGTCACCATTTGTGTGAGAGTAGCAGAAACGGACAGACCTCTGCCTGGGGGTGAATGGTGAGCCAGCTGAGATCTAAAGGGTCAGTATTAGTGGTCAAACCAATGTATACTATGCTGCGCTGGCTAAACACCTTCTGATCAGGAAGAGAAGTAAGTAAGACCTTTGGAGAACTAGAATTAGTCTTGCATTCACAGGCCCTAGTCCTCAAGGGGGACTTCAACATCCCCAATATCTGCTGTAGGGACAGCACAGCAAGGTACAAGCAATCCAGGAGTTTTGTGGAGTGCATTGATGATAATTTCCTGGCACAGATGACCAAGGAATTCAAAGGCAGACACACTACTGGACCTGGTACTTACAAGCAAGGAAGAAGTCAGGGTTATGAAGGCTCAGGGCAGCCCTGGCTGCAGTGACCATGAGATAGTGGAGTTCAAGATCCCAATAGAAGAGAACAAGGCAACTTGCAGGATCACAGTTTCCTGATCTTCAGGAGAGCAGGTGTTAGCCTTTCCAGGTATCTGTCTGGAAGAATCCTGGAGGAGATGGTCCTCAAGAAAAGAGTCCAGGATAGCTGGTTGATTTTCAGGAATCACCTCTTCCAGCCTCAAGAATGGCTCATGCCAACAAACAGGAAATCAAGCAAAGGTGGCAGGAGGCCTGTATGGATGAACAAGGAGCTTCTGAGTAAACACAAATAGAAAAAAGGAAGCATTCAGGAGGTGGAAGTAGAGTAAGGTGATCCAGGAGCAACCAGTGTCTTAGTGTGCAGGGTTAGGAAAGGTTAGGAAAGTCAAAGCAAAGGATGTGAAAAAGACTTCTACAGGTCCATCTGCAGCAAAAGGGAGTCTTGGGGAAAAAATAGACCCACTACTGAATATGGCAGGGACATTTTCAGTGAAAAAACAGCATAGGAAAAGCTCGACATAGAGAAACCTGAGGTACTGGAACATCTGTCATATGAGGAGAGGCTGAGATCTGGGACTCATTGTCCTGGAGAAGGTTCAGGGGACTCTTACAAATGTGTATAAATACTTTATGGGAAATAGTGAAAAAGATGGAGCAAAGCTTTTCTCAGTGGTGCCCAGTGCCAGTGGGAGAGGCAATGGGCACAAACCACAAATAAAAGAAATTCCCTCTAAACATAAGAAAAAACTTTTTTCTCTGACACAGGTTGCCCAGGGAGGTTTTGGACTCTCCATTCTTGGAGATATACAAAACCCAAGTGGACGCAACCATGATTAACCTGCCCTAGCTGACCCTCCCAGGCAATCGTCAGAGGTCCTGGCCAATCTCCACAATTCTGTGATCATCTGAAAGGGAGAGGAAGGAGTGGGAGGCTGTGTGTGACCAACAAAACAGATGGGTTTATTGATCTCTGTCACAATACACTACAACAATTGCAATTAAAACAGCTTCAAAACCACAGATTTTTGAAAAGGAGAGGTAAAAATTTATGTGGCAAATCATTACCACTATCAATAAGAAAGGTAACTGCAGCCAAAATAAACAAAATTGTTTACATGTTACTCCTTAACGATACTTAACACAGTATAAATCAATGGATAATGTCAGTGGTTTCACTCAATGTTTTGCTTTATGGCAGGAAATACTAGTGGATAAGGAAGTACCTTATCTTTGCCCAGCATTTGGCTGCTTGGAAAAATACTTTGGTCATATTTTCAAAAGTGGCTTTCAGTTTGCTCCACTGAATTGACTTGCTTGTCAACTGCAGGTCTTTTTCTCCTGTAGCGCGGAAACCTCAGCTGCTGTGAAATGTCACAAGCAGGGACTGGCTCAAGCTTTGCAACACATGGAATTACATGTGGTGTTTTTACACATGGCTTTTTCAATCACAAAAAATCCAGACTTGTGCTGGCACTGAGATATTTTTCACCAAATTCCCTTGAAGTTTGTGTTCTTTATATCCCAGCTGTTGTCAGTATTTTCCTTTGACACATTTCTGCAATCCTTAATCACAGGCAGTCTTTGTTATTGCTCACACAACACATGCATATACATTTCTACTTGCTGTAGCCATAACTCACCCTTTTGAGCAGTAGTAGGCGGTTACATCTTCTCACTAGTGGTGGAACTACAATACAATTGCACCTCTGGCATTCCTGGGGGCATCCACACAGGCATCAAGGGGCTTTTTGGGCGCCAAAGTGTTCCTGGAAATCTACAAAATACCAACTTGCAGCATTTTGGTCCCTCTCCTGAAAGCATCTGAACATTCCTTGAGATGTCTTCTTCCCACCTACACAGTGTCCTCCTACTGTCCTTCATAGTTATTCCACTAAGGATTCTGAGCTCTTATTAGGAAACTAATTCTTAGATGCTATAGCACTGGTCTCTTTGTAAATCCGCTCTAGTTTCTGGGGGTGATATAGCTCCAGGGTTTAAAACTGAGTACCTAGAGAGAGGTAGATGTTTATGTGCATACCTTCCCTCACCTACAGCAGTGCTGAACACCCGTGAGCACACAGTGAAGCAAATTAAATGTTGATCACTTGAATGTAAGTTCAGAACCCTCCATTTTGGAAAATGATTCAACAAATCTTAGCCCTCAGTGCTATTTAAGTAGATATGGGAGTTCCCTGTTGTATTTTTTTTAACACAGCTCCATAAACTCTAAGTGTTCATTGTTGCAAGTGAAATTCAAAACTCTCCCATTCACAGCAAGACAGTGCATGTGCCACTGGGCAGCCAAAGCTCTGCCAGCAGCCCCCCTGCCTGCTCCCTGCCTGCACCAAACCTTGTCTTCCCAGTTTCCAGGGCAACAGCAGAGCCCAGGAGATGGATGCACAAGGGAGGCAACAGGGTTCCCACAACATTTTCACGTCTGTCTGTAATTTCCCATTGTTCAGAAAAGAATCACAAATGTACAAATGTGACAGCTGCTCAAGCATACAAAATGTCTGCCTGTGGCTTCAGTCTCACTTACTTGCAATGGGTGACGTCACATATTGCTCAGGCGTGTATACCAGAGACCGCATGATGTTTTGAGTCTTTCTGAAGGTACTCGAACGAGCAGGCTCTGTTCATCAGCTTATTGTTTGCCTCCTATCTCATAACGGTGATATTCCCATCTGATGAGTACTGTCTGAGGTCACCTTTAGAACCCAGTGCTAATCATTTGCAATGTGCGTGCAGATAAAAGAATATTTCTGACAGCAAAAGGGTGGAATAATTGTGAAGGAGGTTTTAATTCCAGTAATAAAATACCAAAAAGGAAAATCTATTTTTATTTCAAAATTACAACCTAACACAGGCGCTAAAGCAATTAAATACTACACAGCTGAGC